AATTTTTTGGTACAGTTTTATTTTTATAATTAGTACCTCACAATAGGTTAGCAATAATGTAATTCAATTTTTCTATTTTTAAATACATTCAAAACATCTTAAGAGGCGTGTAAAACCGGTTATAAAAAATTTCTTTTGCACTTGAATAATAATGTGATTAAATATGTTGTCAAATGATTGTTTTTTTTTTTTTTTAACAAACAATATTATCTACACTAAGGAGAAGGGGGTGGGTTTTGACACACCCCGTCCCGAAGGAGGGCATGCTGGCCGTCACGTGAGAGTGACGTAACCATTTGCACAGTACGGAAGCTTTAATTATACAATTTATAAGTTGATACACCCGAAGGTGAGTCCTAATTTTGTCCAATCTGTCAGAACACCGTCGAATTCCTCGTAGTCACCACACCTTTGTGATTCCTGAACCTGGAGGGGCGCAAAACCAAAATTGAGTGGGTCAGTAAAACAATTCTTTTCCAAATCCAAACATTTTTCAAAACGTTGTAACCCCTCTCCGTAAAACCTGTATATTTTCCCAGAAATGTAAAATATAAATATACATATATATTCTCAAAACTTCATTTTTACTATCTCAACATTATCTCTTTATCAATCATGCCATGCCATGTCATCTCAACATTTCTCATATTAATTATGCCATGCCACATCATCTCAACAGTAATAAGGTATGAATGCATCAACATAATCATATCAGGTGCAAGAAAGTAATCAACCGTAGGCCCTCTAATAGCCCTATACGGTTGAACCTAGAGCTCAAAATCTATCATTATCACTCTACCGGAGTCACCTCTGTGACCCGTCCGGCCTTCTGCACACAAGTTACGCTCTAGTGCTTCTCATAAATCATCTGTGCACATAATCTAAGGTCAACAATACCAATGTGTTCGTATGGTCCTCACGAACATGATGGTACCTTCCTCATCCTGAAACTGTGAAGTTTTCGAGAGCCTTGGTGTTTGTCCGAGAGTTTGAGAGAGAATGAGGGAGTGTGAGAGTGACTGAGGGAGAGATGAGGAAGAGAGAGAGAAGGAGACAACAAAACGGGAAATGGGGAAGGATTTCAGGAGGTAGGACCCTACATAAAGTCCAAATACAAAATATTAACACATACAATAATAAATCTAACCCTAGTTTAGGATGTTTTTAGGTAAGTTTTACTTCGGAAAACCTAGATTCTAAACTCCCCGTGAAAGTGCACTGTTCATGATCTTCGAATTGACTTTGTTTTAGGACAATCCAAGCTCACAGTGAGCTTAGTGAGGTTCCAAGGAAGCTCGGAGTGCTTCGTTGGAAGTTTTTGGACGTAAGAACACGGAGATCGATAAGTTCAAAGTTTGGCCGGAGCTTTCGAGGCATTTTCCGGCGAATCCCCGGCGAGTTAGGCGTCAAGGTAGGTATCAATCTCTTAGTCTCGTCAAGTACTACAACTTTCCTTTTTGTTTCACTCAATTTCGTTGAGTATTGAAGAAGTTATACTCATTTGAAACATACCCAGTTTCCGGCGACCTCCGAGGCTTTCGAGGCAGTTTCCGGCCAAACCACGGCGAACTAGGTGTTGTGCAAGGTACCATTCTCTTTGTCTCTTCAAGGGCTACAACTTTCGTTTTTGAAGCACTTGATTTCGTTGAGAAATGACAAAGTTATGGCAATTTGAAAAACTGCCCAGAAAACGGCCGCCGGAAAAACCAGTCCGGCGACCCAAGGAGAAGAAGGTGCTACAGTAAAAATAAAAAAATAAAAATAAAATTATTTTAAAAATATGTCGACGTCCGTGACGTCGAGTAGATCGCTGTGGTATATTCATATACCTAAATTGAACACCGTATGAGAAAGTTATTGAAGATTGTTGGTTAGGTGTTTCAAATAACGTTTTATAGTTTTCACATTTAGGTGAAAATGTGAATTTGATGATCCGACCGTTGGATCGTCACCCAAACTTTGATACGTTGTAATACGTAATATTTGAGGATTATTGGAACTTACGGATTGGGAATCCGAGTTACGGATCTTTCCGGGAATTAGAATTGTAAGTCCATAATATAAAATGTTAACCGTCACTTAGTTTTGGAAATTGACGGAGATCCGACCGTTGGATGGTAATGAAATTTTAGGATGTTTTCCTAGAGGTATAATGTGGACCTCTGGAAGTTATGGATTTAAAATCTGAGGGGTGGATCTTCCGGATCAATCTACGTAGTGACGTATTTTATAATAAGTTATATATTCTATCGATATGAATTCTGAGGTTGGAATTGATTATTGTTTTAGGCGCCGATCGTCATGACGCCTTGGCGTATTGTGCTAGGGAGTTGTAGGGCGAACTCCAGGTGAGTGGGCAGTTTTGTTTTCCGTATATATATATATATACTTAACGTTTTCCCAGAAATTGAAAATGCGCATGAAATTATGTTTAAAAATGAAATGCATATGAGTTATGTGGAAAAACGGGAAGTGAAATACCATGCATAGAATTGATATGAAAAGTATATAGAAATGTGAGTTGAAATGCCATGCATGAATTAATATATGATGCATATGTATGAATTGGTGCGGTGGACGCACAGGTAAGAATTGATTTATGATGCATATGTATGAAATGGTGCGGGTGGACGCACAGATGAGTATTTAATTACTGTTATGATTGATGATGATTATATAATTGAGCTCAAATCCTGCACCATGGTTTAGTGCTTATAGTATTCACCGCATCGCACGCTCGCCTTGGATCCAAGTAGATGCTAGTCGTACAGTCCACGCGGAGTGGGTACGACAGACCAGTCGCGAGAGTGTTAGTGAGATTCCGACTGGTGGGTGACCTTAGATTATGTGCACAGATGATATTTATGAGAAGCACTAGAGCGTAACTTGTGTGCAGAAGGCCGGACGGGTCACAGAGGTGACTCCGGTAGAGTGATAATGATAGATTTTTGAGCTCTAGGTTCAACCGTATAGGGCTATTAGAGGGCCTACGGTTGATTACTTTCTTGCACCTGATATGATTATGTTGATGCATTCATACCTTATTACTGTTGAGATGATGTGGCATGGCATAATTAATATGAGAAATGTTGAGATGACATGGCATGGCATGATTGATAAAGAGATAATGTTGAGATAGTAAAAATGAAGTTTTGAGAATATATATGTATATTTATATTTTACATTTCTGGGAAAATATACAGGTTTTACGGAGAGGGGTTACAACGTTTTGAAAAATGTTTGGATTTGGAAAAGAATTGTTTTACTGACCCACTCAATTTTGGTTTTGCGCCCCTCCAGGTTCAGGAATCACAAAGGTGTGGTGACTACGAGGAATTCGACGGTGTTCTGACAGATTGGACAAAATTAGGACTCACCTTCGGGTGTATCAACTTATAAATTGTATAATTAAAGCTTCCGTACTGTGCAAATGGTTACGTCACTCTCACGTGACGGCCAGCATGCCCTCCTTCGGGACGGGGTGTGTCAGGTTTAGTCTAACAATGTGCGCTAATAATGTGATTCAATCAGTTGTTTATTAAATATTATTTTCTCTATTTTTAAACACGTTCAAAACATCTTAAGAGGCGTGTAATGCCGGTTATAAAAAAAGTTTTTCGCATGCGGATAATAATGTGATTAAATTAATTTTCAAATGATTGTTTTTTTTTTTTAACAAACAATATTATCTACACTAAGGGGGGTGGGGTGGGCTTAGCCTCATAATGGGCTAACAATAATGTGATTCAATCAATTGTTTATTAAATATTATTTTCTCTATTCTTAGTAAATTCTATAGAGACCGATTTTATTATATGAATTCAAATGCTTTAATTGGTTTATGAGGGGTTTCTTCTAGCATGATCTAAAATTATTCATTTACTTCAAATGTTTGACTTTCCTTTTATCAATTTATGCAAATAAATACATTTAAAACATGTAAGTCACGCATAGCACACCATAATTAAAAAAATACACTCTACACGCTCACGCGCATACATGAAAGCTAGTATATATAAGAAAGCGAGAAGGGACCATATCGATATGGTTCGTTTGGTTTGGAACTTAATAGAGGTTAGGCCAGATTGGGGCCTATGTGAAGCGAAGCACCTAACTTCCACTTTACTAGTTAGCTCGTTTTCTTTGGCCAATATTTATTGGGTTATGATTTTCACACACCTTTAACTACTTTTCTCACATCCTTTCCTATTTTTTAATAGTTGTTAATTGGTATCCTACTATTTAATCTTTCATATATACCCTTCCTAATTTTTTAGGGTAATTAATGAAAGATTAAATATGGAGGGTATATATGGAAGATTGAATAGTATGATAACAATTAAGTACTAAAAAATAGGGAGGGGTGTGAGAAAAGTAGTTAAGGATGTGTGAAAATCACAACCCTATTTATTAATTTCTCGTTTAATAATATCTTAGTATTTTCGTTTAGTCTAATAGACATTTTAAAACTTGGTGACTAATTAATATATAAGCCTACGATCACAAGTGAGTTGGATGACCAGAAGAGTGTGCTTGTCACTTTAAACTCGAGTTCGATTTCCTTTAGTGGACGCATAGAGAGATACGGAGGGTTGCTTGACCTGACCCTCAAGCAATAGGAAATCACATTGTGACCATCTGATGGATGCCATGGTTGCCGCTCATGTGTTTTATAAAATGCCTTTGAATTAGAGAGTTGTTGGTCCATTTAAAAATAAACAGCAATGTAAACCACTTGGTCGTAAAGAAAATGCTACCAACTTTTTCACTTCTTTTTGTGTCATGTGTTTTCTATTAGCACTTAAAATTAAAATTAATTTTGCATACTAATATAATATATGTGTAATGAGTTAAAATGAGAAGGTTATCGACACTCACTTAATTGAAATACTCAAATAAATTATTTACCCAAAACAACCACGTTCCAAACAACTACTTATTCTTTATATTTTATCTCCCCCAAAAAATTGCCTCAATCTAAACGCTGTCGTTTGGCCAGGTTAGTTTTGGGACGAGAAAAATGCTTGTTTGTGTTCTTCGAACACGCTATGTACCTCAATTTCCCTAAAACCCTAAACCCTACTACCCCATCGGACAGCCGTAACCCCCCAATTCCCCCCAATTCCAAATCCAAATCCCTAATTTCCCCGAATTCCAAAAATGGACCATTCCCAGTCCCACCCGAATCCAAAACAAAGCAACCCGTCACCGCCGCAACCACCACCTCTCCACGCAGACGTAGAAGGCGACGACGACAATGTAAAACAGCTCAACCAATGCTCTGTTCTCTACCTCTCCTTACAGGTAACAACTATTTTCCCCAATTTTTATTAGATTCTAAAATTCTAAAACCCTAAACCCCAAATCACGAAGAACCCGAATTCGGTCTGTGGCTTGCAGGATTGCCTTGTTAAGACCGACAGGAATTGGAAATCTTGTCAACCAGGTACGTAATTTGGGTTCCTAATTTGCAATTCATTTCTCAATTTCATTTTCCAGTAACTGTGAATTTCCTGTTTTAATTTTGTGTGAACAACTTTTTGATCAGAAGTTCAGGCCTTGAAGGCATGCAACGAGAGGAGGAAGAAATGACAGAGGAAAGTGGGATCATAGCAAAAGATGAGCTGCAATCGAGATTTCACAATTTGTATCAACTTTTGACTGGATTTATATATGAAATTGTTACCATTTCTTGATTGTCTTTGCATACAATTTGTTCTATCGTTTATTAATTACTAAGTACCAAAGAGCGACTGGTTTGGCTACTTATGATCTATCTTGCAAACAACGGAGAGTTGGACGGTGACTTCAACTATATAATATAAGTTGGAGGGATGAAGTGGAAGAGTGCATCTAGCATCTTGTGTAACCGTCGTATGCTATTGAAGGTCAAAGGAAAATTTTATAGGACGACAATAAGGCTGACAATGCTTTATGGCATAGAATGTTGGGCGGTGAAGCATCAACACGTACATAAAATAAGTGTAGCGGAGATGAGAATGCTTCATTGGATGTGTGGGCACATGAGATATGATAAGATTAGGAATGAGGATATCCGAGGTAAAGTAGAAGTGGTCGAAATTGAATGAAAAATAAGAGAAAATCGGTTATGGTGATTTGAACATGTGAAACGAAAGCCTATTGATACTCCGGTTAGAAGATGTGATTACGGGATAGAAGTTCAGAATCAAAGGGATAAAGGAAGACCAAGAAGGACTTTGGAAGGATAAAGGAAGACCTAGAAGGACTTTGGAAGAGATTTTAAGAAAAGATTTAGAGTACTTGGATCTAACGGAACACGCGACACTGAACCGAGCGCAATTGCGTTTTAGAATTCATATACCCGACCCTACTTAGTGAGAAAAACTTTGTTTTTGTTGTTGTTATTCATTACGACTGACTTAGAATTTTTGTCCAAGAGTCTTGGACACCATTATCGTCGCAATAAACGCATAAAAGGGTAGTGTTCGAAACTGCTCAATTTCAAAGTCGAAAGAAGATATTAAGTCGCGAGAGAGCTCCATGTAAACAAGAATTGAACGATAACTCGATACTTTCACTAGTACTGGGTAGGTGCATTACCAATGCTTCTCCAAAATCCTGAAACCAATCGTGTATATTTCAGTCTTGAGGATTATTGTATGAGTTGGAGGATGGTCTGGGTTCGGTTCTTGAACTGAAAGTATGCAACGCCTTGTGCTCATTGGTCCCGACGCTAAGACCAAGTCCAACAAAACATTCATTTTCCGTATGATTCCTGACGTCCTTACGGGAGAGTCGAATGGCAATGAACTCACCCAAAAATGGATTGAAGAGAAACAGCCAACAACGTTGGAAACCAGACGGTCTGGTCCGGCATATTTTATCTGATCCAAACCCAAAATATCAGTAAACAATTAGGTTGAATGATGTCAAATCCAATTGTAAACCAAACCAAACCAAATCGAGTCTATAGTTTAGTACAAACATAAAACCAGGAGCCGAATATGGTAAATAAGTAAAGGTCGTACCCAGTGCACAAGGCTCCCGCTTTACGCAGGGTCTGGGAGAGGTGAATGCCGGCTAACCTTACCCTTATTTATGAGGAGGCTGCTCCCAAGTCTCGAACCCGAGACCTACCGCTCTAGTCTTTGATGAGGAAACAAAAGAACTGCTTCAGCATTACATCAGCCTTTACACGAGCAACGAAAGACCTCTCACAAGCAACTGACATCAAAGCATCGTTGACGCATTATGGAAACATATTGTTCGACCATGAAGAGGACATCGGAATTTAGGTTATTAAGCAGACCTGCCAGAGAACTTGTGGGGTGGGAGCCTGCATATCATAGGGCAAGCATGCCGCAATGAATTGGAAAGGTCAGTTACCAAGTCAGCTCCTTACAAAAACATCCATTTATTTTACAAATGCACATACAGTTAACCAAAAGCTTGAATTAACCCTAACTCTAAATATGTATCGCGAGTCGCGACAGCACTGCAAAGAGGTTCATTCCGATAAGTAAACAGCAAAACGATCGCAGTATTTGCAATCAACGTGCAGATTTTCTCAATAAACATATCCTTGTATCACTAAATGACAATCATTAAGTTTGTTAGGAGTTGTTTTCGATATAGTGTTTTGATTATTACTACATAGCATCCAGGGGAAAGTTCTTTAAATGAAACTCAGATGTTTTGTAATGTTCTGTAGTTCAGCAAGACACAACGCTGATGAGCTGAAGTCATATTTAAACAAAGAACACCTTTTGCCACTTGACTTTTATGAAAAGGCAACCCATATCTTATGTAACAAAACAGAATCGAGAATAAATCCCGCAAAGATAAGCAAGATCAGCATTTGTCACAAGAAGAATTAAGCAGGATGAACCACCAACTCTTCAGCAAACTATATAGATTGTTTCAAACTTTCACATATCAGGGAAGATTGACAGAAGTTAACTATAACATACTTAGACATATCTGTGTAGGTTTGAAAAAACCAGTGGCATATGCCCACAAAAAATATCAACTTTCACAGAAAACAAAGCTAATATAAAAACAGTAGAACAGAAGTGTAGCTAACTTGGCGGACTATGTGTGACATTAGGATTTCTCCATTACTCAAACACATACGTTTGTACAAGTTTTATAGTCATCTCAAGGAAAATGTGAATTTTCTTGGACAACTTCATTAGTATTAGGGCCCCCAATTCTCAGGACCGGCCTTGATCCCATAGCAATGAGCAGACATGCAAACATAAAGAGACCAGTATTAAAAAAACAAGATTGATACTTTGGATTTCGAATATCCCAAAGAAACCCATATCAGGAACAATGAAGAAAACTTGAGAGAGCGAACCTGGACGGAAAACGCAGCGGAGCAGCGCCGGAAAAAGAGGGGTGGTCGGCGGAGAAGGCGAAGGCGGCCGACCGCAGCCAAAGTTTCCGAAAAGTGGCTGCTATCCCGGCGGGCCTGTTGGTCCTGACACCTTGCCAAATCCCGGGTACATTTGTCTGATCAGAGTGTGTCTCCTCGTGCTGATGGTTTGCTCTGTTTCCTTTGTTTCAAACTTTTGAAGTCGCAGGGAAAGCTACCAAGTTTTGGAGAAATTTTTAGTTGTGACGGAACAGATGATACATTACGTGTTTTTATATAAGTAATGGGAAATTTTATTTTTTAAGTTATTAATATTTTAACACATATATTACACTATTTATATAACTACACGTAATGTATCACCTATGTGACGATCACACTAAAAAATCTTTATAAGTTTTGAGCTTTGAATCTTGAAGGCACCAATCGTGAAGTGACGATGTGGGTAATGGGCCAGATTCAAGCCCCACTCAGCCCATTTGGAACTATTGGGCATTTAGTTACACGGGCCGCATCACTATCCGATGACAAAAAGTTCAAATCAAATGTTGCATGACCTGATTCGTCAGCCATCACATTTGCTTTCCAAATTGATAGCAAATTTAAATTAATTTAAATTTGATTATTAAATGTTTTGAATTTAATAATGAGTAGTGAACCACTGGTGATTGGTTTTTTTGAGAAACGATAATGAGTGATACTATTGACACATTTTTTTAGCTTTTTACATATTTTTTTGTTAATTTTCATATTATATATATTTTTAATTTGTTCGAGCAAATGACAAAAAAGAAAGAAAGTATATAAGAAATAAAAATAGTGTGAATAGCATCACCTTTTAATAATTAACCAATTCACTCAATTAGAAAATTTAATAAGGAAAATTTTATTTAAACCCATCTAAATTATTTATACACCCAACTTACTTTTTGCACCCATTTGATTTTTAACTAAACTATTAATATCTCTTTAAACCCAAATTTAGTACCTAATATATATGTTGACCCTAAAAACTACCAAGCCTACGTGGTGCGCATGCCGAGTAATTAATAAGCTAACTAAATCCTTTGGTTGTGTGCAGGGCGTGCCAACTCATCGGTCGAGCTCTGCTTGGAAGTAAAATGTATTGATGTTGCATTTAGTGCGCTGCTGACTTTTGATCTTGCGACTGCGACCGAGGAAGGAACACGTCTCGGCCTTTAGGTTCTAGAGCCTGAAGACAAGGCTACTAGTTTTGCTAAGTTTAATATCATATTCGACTTTCAATGTAACAAATGTAGTAACCTGGTAACACCTCACTTTATCGAGAAGGCTGATGAGATGACCTCTACCATTCCTGGCAGCTCGCCCTATCACCAATCAAAGTCAGCAATTGCAGCAAATAATCACATCCGCTGATCATACCAATGTTGCCCCCCTTATTTTCTTATGCATCGGCCTAAAAGGCCGAATGGTTAAGAGAATAATTTATTCATATGCTTTCTTTTTCTTGTTTTTTTTTTAGCAAAACAAAATAAAAACGGCTGAATCATCATCAAGAGGAGGCAAATGATGCTTTATTCTGAGCCGAGATCTTTTTATATCAAAATTCCCAATTTGATTTCGCTCTAGGCCGAATAAATAATCACTTCCAAATACTTTTGATTTGGTGAAATATTTTTTATTTTCGGCTGCCAAATGTATTGAAAAATTAAGCTTCATGTGCATAATTATTTCACCAATTTCGACTTTTAACTCTAGCAACTTAGCCGACTGGGATTTCTCCATATTGGCCATATCACCAATAATCATATCAATTGGCGTGGTTTTTTCAGCTAGGCCTATGTCTCTGCCTTGTTCGTCATTGGATCATTCCTTTAACGAATCATTTTTTGAGTCAATTTTTGTATTTGGCTCAGGAACTTTTTCTTCTAGGCTTACCAAACTTGCAGTCTCGACCGAAAAAATAGGTGGCCTAGGTTCTTTTTCGGCCATCTTGACAATCTTCTTAGGTCGAATGTTGGTTGTGGCCGGAGCGAAAAATTGCCACATGGCCTCTTGCCTTTCAAGAATTCTACACCACTTCTTAAGGAGTTTTTCATGCTCTTTTAAAGGCGGCAAATCTCGTCTAATGAAGCCTGATCGAGATATATCATGTGAACTTCGCAGTTTTAGCACTAGGTCCCACCGGACGTGCCAAAATGTTGACCTTAAAAACTATCAAGCCTAAGTGGCGCACAGGCCGAGTAATTAATAAGCTAACTACGTCTTTTGGTTGTGTGCAGGGTGTGCCAACTCGTCGGTAGAGCTCGATTGGGTAGTAATAAAATGTGTTGATGTTGCGTTAAGCACGCTACTGACTTCTTGATCTTGCGACTGCAACTAAGGAAGGAAAACGTCTCGGCCTTCAAGTTCTAGAGCCTAAAGACAAGGATACTAGTTTTGCGAAGTTCTATATCAGATTCAGCTTTAGTGACCTGGTAACACCTCACTTCGCTGAGAAACCTGATGATATGACCTCTACCAACAAGGATTCGAAAATCCTTGTCGACCGAGACTTGAATAGGTAATCAGTCGGTCGAGAAGTAGTGTTGTTTATCCAAACTGAAGGCGTTCTTTGATTGGCTGATTCTACAGCTCCAGTATTGTTTATCCAAACTGAAGATGTTTTGGTGAAAAAAAGAAAATAAAAATCTCAAAGTTGTTGAGAGGTTTCGCGTAGAGCGAGAGTTTGTGTAGGGCAGTTTGTGTGTTGAATTGGAGGGGGATTGAATGTTGTCCACGACTTTTTATTTAGAAGTAAATGTTGTGTGGCGCGACCAAATAATTTTGTAGAGTCCAACTGCAACTCTAATTCATGAAACTGAACTTGATCTGCGTCAGAAGCCAATGCATATCCTTCAAATTGATCTGTGGGATTTGTTCCTTGACTTTTCAAACCTAATAAAAGTTAGGCTTATCACATCACATTAGAACCCAAACCTATCTAGGCTTCTTCATAATCTTTACCAACACATGCATTTTGATCCCCACCATACTTTGAATGGATAATAATTAGTTTGCAACACACCACTTGTCAGTAAACCAAACTGATCCCACCCACACATTCACATGCCAAAACATCCAAATCAGCTTGAATTGTGTTGCCATGTTTCTAGTTGGAAATACATATCTCATCTTTCATAATAAATTATTATTAAAAGATAATTATGATAAAACACCATAACATTATCCTTTAATAATAATAAAATGAATTATCTCCACTTTTCATCTAACGATGTGAACCTATGCTCACTTAACGGCCTTGATTGCATGGGCCGATGGTGTAAATTTGGATCCAAACAATACCCCCATAAACCCAATTCAATATGTGGATTTATTTTTACACCCATTTGATTTTTAACTTAGAAGCTGCTGCAGTAGGCTGTGCCACTTGACTGCTGAATAGTTATCGACAAATTAGAGGTCATTGGTTCTTAGAATACCACTGATAGCTCACTTATTTTTCATTTCTTAGATCCTTATGTCGGAAATTTTTCACGCATGGTACCGGAAATGCAACGTTTAAATCCTCTGTCAACTCTCCAGGTGTGCAGAACCCCTACACTCTGTCCTCTGTATTCTTCAAAACCGAGTGCCAATTTTTCTTAGTGTCCTCATTTTTCTTGAATTCCCATAGCTTGCATTTTTGCAAGTCTGCAAATTTGCAAGATAAAAATCAATGGCTCTCAAGGCCGTTCATGTCTCTGATGTTCCAAACCTCGATCAAGTCACAGAAAATGTTGCCGCATTGGCCGTACATTCTTCGTGGTTGGCTCAAGGTCTCGACATTTGCCCTCGAACTAATTACTTGGAATTCAAGAAACAAAAAAGCAAGAGGAATCTGACTTTTGGAATTGGGTTTTATTTATTTATTTATTTTGGATGTGTGTGAATAGGTGTGAAAGATGAGGGTGAAGAAATGAAATGGGGATACAAATGGCCAAAGTTCGTGGTGATGGGACACAAGGGCAGCGGGATGAACTTGTTGTGTGGTTTAGGATTAAGAGTTAGAGATGCGATATCTGCAAGTCTTTTTGGTTTTTTGGGGTGCAAACTTTGTATTAGGACTTTTAGGCAATACTATTTGCACCAATAGCTACATTGATGCCATGATTTTGAGGTGTAGTCAGACTACACCGACTGAGAAGAAAAAAAAAATATAAAAACAGAAGAAGCAAATCGAATCCAAGGTCCTTGCAATATCTGCAAGTCTTTTTGGTTTTTTGGGGTGCAAATGGACAGTGGGAGACCAACTGTAGCAATTTCCTGTTACAGACAGATAAACAAACTATGCATGATTGATTGAAAAAAAAAAAATTAAAACCAAAATACTCATCTTCTAAACTCTAAAAAATTGAAATCAAACGAACAAAAAAATTCATAAATTGAGTCATACCTTGGTTAAAGGATTCACTACTTCAAAATCACCATTCATCAATAAAAAAACTTATTTTTCTCTATGAGAGCTATTAGGGTTTAAGCTAGAATGAACGTAGGATAAACAAAGAGTGATCGTAGAGTTTAATTATAGTGTTTGGATTTATTGATAAATTTGAGTTTTATTATTAATTTCATTTTGTACTTAATAGTAATTATGCAATAGGGTAAAAATAGACATTGAACATTTTAAAATTTTAATTTGGATGTAAAAAGAGGTTACATGAGTTTAAATAAAATTTCCCATTTAATAATTAAAAAAAATTATCACCATGCACCTAAACATTTGTCGCGTGTTCTTTTATTTAATTTTGGTTAATTTTTTTCAAAATTGAAAAAGTAATATTTAAAGTGAAAGTTTGCCAAAATTATGTGAAATGACACATAACAAATAATTAGATGTACGATAAGTATATACTAGTTTTAATAATGAGAATAAATGATCTCTATTATGTGGTGTGCCATGTTTTCGACTAATTTGGAATCTTCTGGAGATGCTCTAACAGGCGATTTGGTTGATTTTCCGTCCATGTTCAAAATTGGAATTTCCACGTAAGTCTATATCAAAATTTTCCCAAGAAAACCCATCGACCGAAAAAAATCAGTGAGGAGAGTGAAGGACATGGCTGCACCTGCACCTGCACCTGCACCACCAGGGCCATTTCAGAAAACTGAGGAAGAATGGCGGGCTGTTCTCTCCCCGGAACAGTTCAGGATTCTACGCGAGAAAGGAACTGAGTAATTCCTCTCTCTCTCTCTCTTCTTTGCCTGTTCCTAATTTTAATTATGGTCATCGTATTTTATGCTGCGATCTGTTTAGCCAAGTCTGATATGCTGTTTGGATTTTGATGGGTACTGATCTTTTCTCTGGATTTTGTGATTAGTCTGGTTTGAATCTTCTGTTTCTCTGATAAATTTATTGTATTTTTGTTTATTTAACTCATAAAAACTTGTTATGAATCGCAAGATTGTATAACAAATTCCAAGTCTAATAATTTGTTAGCCACAGAAAAGTAGCATCTGTGACCAATTGGTAGAAGAAGACCCATGAAGGGTTTTAGTGTTTACTTGTTTACTGGTGGTATTCAACTGTTTTTTAGTCTACTTGCAAAAAACTAAGAGCCATTTGATAACCGTTTCGTTTTTCAGTTTTCAGTTTTTATGTTCGTTTTTTGTTCACACATTGAGGACCTTTACACTTTTTTCTTTCTTTTAAGATCCCATTCGAGGCCTCTCCAGCAGTGATTGAACTACACTCGAGAATCATCCATTGTTCAAATTTCAGAAAGATGCAAAATTTGGTTAAAAGTCCTTACCATGACTAAATTTTGGCTACAATAACAACAACAGCAAAGCCTTATCCCTCTTAGTGAGGTCGGCTGTATGACTTCTAGAATGCCATTTGCACTTGGATTTGAGTCAAGTCTTCCGTTAGCTCCCAGGACCCCGTACCTTAGAGTCTTTTCCCAAGTCTTTCAAATTTCCCCTACTTATGTATAAATAGAATTAGATTAAAGAGGAAATTACTCCTGTAGACCAGTTACCAATATAATACATGTTATGTAATCCCTTCGCCTTGATTACAATATTGGGGGATATTAGTATCTGCACAATGTGTGAATTGATTAGGTTAGACTTGCTTACGGTTGGATTTATGCAGGCTAAAATTCACTGGGGAATATGACAAGGTTTTTGAAGAAGGGGTTTACAAATGTGCTGGTTGTGGGACACCCCTTTATAAGTCAACTACCAAGTTTGATTCCGGATGCGGTTGGCCTGCATTCTACGAGGGTCTGCCTGGAGCCATAAACCGATCGGTGTGTTCCTATTGCTGAATGCAAATGTCGTTTGTTATTGTTTCTAGCTAATGCATTTTGCTGACATTGGATGTAACTGAAACAACTATGTATGTACTTCAGCCTGACCCAGATGGGAGGAGAACTGAGATCACATGTGCAGCTTGCGGCGGTCACTTGGAACATGTTTTTAAAGGGGAAGGGCACAAGGTGCCGACAGATGAACGCCACTGTGTCAACAGCGTTTCCATCAAGCTTGTTCCTGAAACGTCTGCACTATGAGGTCTTTTGAGGTTGCATCTCCTCAGATCAAGCTGCTTTCGTAGGCGCTTAAACCTTAATCTGAAATGCAGTGTTTGTGAGTCGCTTGTTATGATACTTTATCTTTAGCTAAAGTGCCAATAAAATCTCTTTGTTTTAGTTTCGTTTCATGGCCAGGGGTGTTGCATGAATGATTTTTTCCTGCCTATACCAGCAACAACATTTGGTTGTGTCAATGTGATTTTTCTTCAGCACCTACAGGCACCGAGTGGCGTTGCACAATTGAAAGTTTGTTTGATCTAACGGCTTGAAACTCGTGATTGGCGACCGTTGGATTTTGAATCCAATGGCTTAAAAAAACATCGGTACCAGGTGCTTGTAGGTACCTTAGAATCGGTTTCAGAAGTGCTCCAAGTTTAAGCAATTATTTGATGGGAAATTTGGAAAACAAACCTTTTAGAATTCGTCTTCTGTGATTAGAGATATAACCACTCGAGGCCTATTGAGGAGTCCTCCAATTCCCGTCGAGCATTTCATTGTGAAAATTATTCTTCGACGCCGGGTCATCGTGAAAATTATCCGGTTATGAAGTCTAACATCACAATAGGGTTCAACTTCGTAAACTTTCTAATCTAATCTCTAATCTAATAAAATAAAATAAAAATTGCTAACTCGAAACTCAAAAGTCTTGACTAGTCCAACTGGTAAACCAAGCCTACAAGTGAAGGACACCGGCCCAACCTCTCACTTTCACTGCCAATTGCCTCCTCATTTCCCTCTGCCGCCGGAAATAAAAAATGCCGAGAGGAAGGAAAGGGAAAAGCCCTACGAATCCAAACAAAAGAGCAGCAGCAGCAGATACACCACCACCACCGTCGACGTCCAGCAACCAACAACAAGAAGGACGACAATGGCAGCCGCCCAGTGTTATGACCCTGATTAGCTTAATCATAGTTAGTCATTGTATTAGTTAGTTATATGAGACTATTACAGGTAATTAGGAAAGTTTGTTAGATTCTGCTAGCTGGCAGTGGGGTTTTGAGTACTATAAATAGTCCAATGTGTAATGACTTTGCCAAGTGGTTAATTTGATAAAAAAAAAGAAGAAACTAAATACAAAAGTATTTGGAGCTCTGCTCCTTCATCTCTCATTCCCTCTTCTTCCATAGCTTTCTTGTGCTGCAGGTTGATTAAGGGAATTGAGAATTGGGTTGTATCAATGGTATCATCCTTCTAAAATCCTGGTTTCCCTCCTGTGCACGCCCACCCGACCCTATCTTCCTTCCATGGATGCCTTTTAGCTACAATCGACTCCTTCAAAGCTTCGGTGTATTCTGTGGTCCGCGAAGCTATGGCTTCTACACTCGCCGCCATTCACAAGGCTGTGAATCCTATACTCAACGAACTCTGCAGTGACCTTGCTCAGTTACGCCATGACTTGGCTCTCGGCGTCGAGGGAGATTCTGATCCAGCCTCGATGTGTTCCAAGGAAGCTGAATCGATCGAGGTCGGTCACCACAAACCTCCAAACGGTGACCGCAACCCACTGCAAATTCCATCGACAATCCACGACCATTCCATTCCGCCATTGCTCTCATCTTCATCGATGTTGTGAGCACTAACAAATTCAACCGTCAAGCCACACTTGAACAACTCTACTACATCTACAGTCTTGCTTCTGGAATCGAAGACGATGACCTCTGGTCCGCAGCTACTACATAAGCCCTCGTTCTCTGATACTACGAACACTGGACCTGCGGTAGTTCTTAAATTGAGTATCATTTTAGCAAATTCGGAGGCTAAATTCTCTTCTCTTTTGAATGATAACTATAGTGCATACCTGAAAGATAAATTTGGATGAGTTAATTGGTATCTTGTGGGAAATTTTGTGAAGAAATATTTTTATGCATTGGAAGTGTTTGAGAAAATGTCTGAGAAAGGGAGTGAAGACCAAATGAAATATCTCACTGGAGAGATCTCTACAATTTCGAGAACACTAGTTGTATCTGGAATTCTTGTGGCTGCACAATTGTTGTTGAGCTTTTAATAAGTCAATTTCAAGGTATCTTTGCTACTTTTCACTAATATGTTACAAGTGGACCACAAGTTAGGGATGAGCTTTCCCAATTTCAAAATGTGGAGTTCGATCATGTTGCAAAGGCAATTGAGAATGTGGGGGTTAGATGGATAACACTACCAACTGCTTCAATCTTATTTCATGATTTTGATGAAAAGTCTAATAGACAAAGTGAATGCACTATGGGCACCTATTTGAATTCATATTCTCTCTCAAGGATCATCAGGAAATCAATTTTGGTTTCTTGACTGTCGATCTACATGCTGATTTCCCTATGTTGTTGTTTGGGCCGAGTTTAGAATTGTTCTCGGCCCAAAGGCCATGCTTAGGAGTTGTTGGGGGTCATCCGGCTTATGGGCCACATAGCCAAGCCTGGCCGTGTCCTATTAGGAGTCCATGGGTGGTTGAATCCTGATACAAGAAGGAGTTTCGACAGGATAAAGATGTAGAAGTTTGGGATTGAATGTGGCCTGATAAGGGGGTTGAGTTCAAAGTCCTAGTAGGAGTAGAAGTGGCCGAGATAAGGTTAGATCGGGGGAAGGAGTTCTAGTCTGAGTATGGTTGTGATTCGATCGGAAGCAGGTTAACTACTATAAATAGAGGGAATAGGACATCATTAAAGCCCTCCAATTTAACACACAAACTGCTGTGTGCAAACCCTCGCTTTCGCGAAACCTCTCGACAACCTTGAGATTTTTATTTTCCTTTTCCGCTGACACATCTTCAGTTTGGATAAACAACACTGTGAAGGCAACCAGCGAACATCTTCAGTTTGGATAAACAACATTGTTGCCGTAGAATCAGCAGACCGCGGAGCACCTTCAGTTTGGATAAACAGCACTGCGTCGAGGCTGACTGGTTATCTATCCAAGTCTCGGTCGAAAAGGATTTTCGAGTCTTTATTGGCAAATGTCATCTCATTAGCTTTCTCGGCGAAGTGAGGTGTTACAAATTACTGGGCTCGGCACATTGAACGCCAAGTTATTTATGATTGGTTATTCACAATTAGGTTTTAGAGTTCGGCATTCTGACGGCCGAACCACTTCAAAATCAAGACGTACATTTGTTTTGAGTACTTCTGCCCATATAGTCTGGTGTCAATTCGACATGCTTATACTTTAACCAATATAATCACTATGATCGAATCCGGCGTCGATGATTTGTGAACTTCGTAGAACTAGTAGCCTTGTCTTCAGGCTCTAGAACCCGAAGGTCGAGAGTGTTCATTCCTTGGCCACAATCATAAGATTGAGAAGTCAGCCGCGTGCTCAATGCAACATCAACACATTTTACTCCTCGGTCGACGAGTTGGCACGTCTCGCATAAACCAAAGTACGTAGTTAGCTCATTAGTTACTCGGCCTGCGCGCCATGTAGGTTTGGTAGTTTTTAGGGTCAACATTTTGGCACACCTAGTGGGACCCAGTGCTAAAACTACGAAGTTCATGACCATCGAGACACGGTCAGTCAAAAAGAAAATAACCATGGGAAAATCAGCAACCGATCTGCCGGTTCAGAGTCCTGGACAATAAGTGTCACATGCGCGAAATCCTCTTGTTGCTGTGACCCTTGAGGTTGCAAGTGTGACACACTGAGAAAAGGAATTTTGCCTCGGTACCTAGCCTCGAAACACAGAAGTACTCAACCGAACCGCTGGTGTTTTCATTGAAGGAATAATGGAGGACTGCGACGAAGACGGTGGTGAAGGTTCTGACCCTCCAACTAGGTCGTTTCTTCAAAGGTGACTTGATGAGCAATCTCAACAAGTTAAACAGACAGTCATCCAAAAAATGAACAATTTGCTTGAGGTAATATGAAGTAATGGTGAAACCCATACCAAATTGCTCGAATTATTAGTTAGTAGAGTATTCGAAGGAGGACCTGCTGATCAGGCTTGGCAGCTTCCACTTAAAAGTAATCATCCGCTACAGGGCGAAGTAGTGTCTACTCGGCCCAAAGCGATTGACTTAGAAAAAAAGGGAGGATTAAGTAGTAGGTCAGATGGTTCCGACCAGAGAATGGAAGCAACATTCGTCAATATGACCGAGGTCAAACAGATGATCGATTCGACCATGAAGAAGAGGCCGAAGTTCCTGAAATTCATCCATCCATATCCAGCTTATGTGGAAAAGTTCGAATATCCTAAAGGTTTCAAGATTCCAGATTTTAGCCTTTTTGCTGCAGAGTCGTCCTTATCCTCGTTAGAACATGTGGCCCGTTTCACTGCGCAATGCAGAGATGTCAATATTGATTTCCATAAACTACGGTTGTTCAACTTTTTGTTGATAAGCTCAGCATTCGCATGGTATATCAACCTCCCACCTAATTCTATCCAAAGTTGGGAGGAGTTGGTCGAGAAGTTTAACGAACAGTTCTATCGACCGGGGATGGAAACGTCAGTTTCTTCATTAGCTAGGATGGGTCAAGCATCTGATGAGTCACCAATGGACTATTTTGCAAGGTTTAAATTGGCCAAGAATTGGTGCCGAGTACCTCTTCCCGAAGTTGAATTTGTTAGGCTTGCTCTGAATGAGCTTGACGTGGAGTACAAAAAGAAATTCCTGGGGGCAAACTTTCGAGATATGTATGAATTAGCCCAACATGTCGAGCAATAGGATTATTTGCTCCGAGAAGAAAAAAATCTCGAAGTCCCTATCCCGAGGAACGATTTACAAAAATCCCACGGTTAGCTACGCATCGGTCGAAGGCGAAGATTCCCAATACGTCAGTGTGGATGCGATCGAGATAGTAATAGATAAACCATATATTTGCAAGGCATTGACTCAAATGAATTCCAAGGATGCCAAAACCCGCTCGATCACTGAAGAAACGGCGAAAACATCGAAAGTTTACACTTTTGATATCACAAAGGCCGAGGTAATTTTCGACCAATTGTTGTCAGCAAAGATTATCAAACTTTGGCCAGGACATAACATTTCCTAGACCGAAGAACTTAAAGGGAAGACGTATTGCAAGTACCATAACTCGACTAAACATACCACGAACAACTGTGTCGTATTCCGTGATGATATTCAAAGCTGGATTGACAAGGGCAAGCTAAAGTTTCCCCAAAAACGAATGACGGTTGACACTG